TAAAACCTTTTTCCTCTTCAAGGAACAATGTTGTCACCTTGACAGGATGCAAGGGAAAATCTCCCCACCAGGGCTACAGATAGCAATAAAACATGACAGATGATCAATCCATTTTTAGACGTTAAAGCAGGGTATGCATGTGTCATTTTCGCTTCCTGATGAACCAGACAAAATTTACACCGTGGGTGCCCCTGCCAGTACCATTCGACCTTGTATCCCTTGATCTGCTGATCAAAGGAGTCAGTCTCATTTTTTTACAATTAAAAGTAAGAAGAAATAAATGTTGAGGAGAAGGTTCTCAAACATCGTTCACACCTAGGCGTTTTGTAACCCAAAGCTAAGCACGGCAAAACGCTGAAGACAAAGAATCCCATTCATTTCTATGGCCTCTGCTCACACCTGAGCATTCCATCGTAAGCAGAAAAATGCCTGTCACTGGAAAAAGTACACGAGTTACTTTCTGGCAGATTTTGGTCCCATAGAATTCAGTGGGAAACTGTGCGTGACAAAACACACATAAAAATGCTTGAAACACGCGTTTCCCTTGAAGTCTATGGGACCAAAAAACATTGTAATGTGCCAGAAAGTAGCTCATGTACTTTTTCCAACCACCGGCTTTTTTCTGCTTGCGACAAAACGCTCAGGTGAGAACAGGCGCCATAACAATGAATGGGATTCCATGTCTTGAGCGTTTTGTCGCACTCAAGATTAACGAATGGGATTCCTTGTCTTGAGCATTTTGTTGCTCTTAGCTTTGAGCGACAAAATGCCTTGATGTGAATGGGGGCTAACGTAGAGTTTACTCTGTAAAGTTGTGATGCTCGAGATGTGGTCTATAGGAGTGCACTGGGTGATTCATAGCCACCAGCAAATACAAACCTTTGTGGGCATATTTATTAAGCACTGTATGTGACATTCAAACATTCACTTCAGAAGAATCTTCCTTGTATATGATTCTATAAATACAGTATGCTTTACAAATACCCTTCTCATTTTTACGGCAGCAGATGTGAGCACTATGCAGATGAAAAATCTCACTAGTTTTTCTTTTAAGAGCAAATGGTATAATATTCACTAACTTTAGATAAAAAGATTTCGGTAGAGCCATGAGGAAGAGTATTGATCTAAATTCTCAAACATTCAGCAGAAGAAAATGCAATACCATTCGATTGGGCATGTTTTAAATCTCTGATGATCATTACAGTAAACCACAGATACTCCTGGATGTTTTCTAACAAGCTCTCTTTTGTTCTATAACAACACAGCACTTATATGGAGTTTTAAATGTCTAATTTGTATTCTCTTTCCATTGTGAATGAACACTCAGGAATAGTAGATGTCACGTTAGATTTATTCTCCTTGTGCCATGTGGAATTCGATTAAGTGCAATTGGCACTTAGTGCCTCTGGGACAAATCTCAAGACATGGAAAAGCACTGCAGTTTTACTACTGAAATGGCTTTCTTTTCCAAGTTAGTAATTCATATGTTCTTTATCTCCTTTCGCTTATTTGTTGTTATTCAGAAAACACTTCATATGCATTTGAAAGTCACAGATCATAAGAAGAAAAAAAAAAAAGGTTATGTTTATGATAATGTCTGCATTGGAAGTACACTCCAGAGAGAATTAACCAGGTTTTGCAAAAATCCAATTTTCACACTGGAAAGAAGTAGTACAACAAGCATCACTGCAATTCACATAGGGAAGTGTTTAAATCTTACAGACTGTTGTGATTCCATCAGATTATTCCTGTCTAATAATGGACTTTACTGGGTCACTGAGCTATTTATAGCTACGTGTGCATATAATATATAGGTACAATCAATCACGGAAGGAGGAACTGAGCTGGAATTTTTATGGTGTTAACAAAATAAAAGTCAGTGGCCCTTGAGGAAGGTGATCTGCACTCCACTGGAACATCAGGTGGTCAATACGCACTCTTTTTAACTCGCACTATTAATAATCCAGCTCCGGTAATTGTCTCTGTACATTTTGCTGGCAGATGATTTTTCCTGAAATATTTTCATTACCCCCCTGCTCTAGAAAATAAAGATCTTACAATTACAGAGAAGTTCCTTTTTATACTGATCATCATACTTCTAAACATTCACAAAATAAAAATATAGGCATATTTACACTTAAGGTGATTCACGCAGAAGAAAATACAAACTTTTAAAAGAACTTCATCTACTTTTGGTCCAATCACACTTGCTGGGTATGAAAATCAAGACATTTAGAAAGTGTGGAAAATCAATGAAGTGTCAGATATGTATATATTTTTTACTGTACAGTTTTAGAAATGGTAAATCTCAATAATAAGTCTTGTGAGACAAGTCATACCCCTTGCAGATTGGAGTAATGATACAAAAAAATATTATATATATATATTTTATCAGGGAACATTGGGAACTGAGCTACAGCGTCCAGTGGCAAACATCAATGGACTGTAACACCCATGTTCCCCCTCCTCTAAATGTATTACATTCATGTTGCCCCACCACAGATCACACCTGGGACCTACTTTGTAAGTCAAAGTCTTTCAAATAACCAATAAAAACATATATACCAGAAAAAAGTCATATGTCCCAATCTGAAGAGACCCACATTACCCTTCCCCTGACTGGTGATGCCCATATTATCCCACTACTGTCCCAGGGGAGTTAAATGCACATATTACTTTATTATTTGAAATTAGTAAATTACTTTTAAACAATTTAGTGCCCCCCCTCAGTCATTGCTTCTCATGCTGTCATATATACAGATGTAGGCAAATTAGTTGGTACCCTTTCATGAAAAAAAGAAGAACCCACATTTTTCTCTGAAATAACCTGAAACTGACCAAAGTAATTGTCATCCATATTTTTTTCCCATGTTAGTGTATATTTTTAATAAAAATCAAACTTTGCTTTCGATTCAGAATATTTAAAATAATAAAACAAATGAGAATGGCATTGACAAAAACAAGGGGACCCGTATACAAATATTTTGTTGTGCAACCTTTAGAGGCAATGACTGCAATCTCCTAAGGGACCTTTCTCGTTGCTGGAGGAGCCTGAGGGCTAGCCTCCTTCCTACTGACTACGGACCTAGGGCTGCAGAGATTTATTACCAAGGAGAACTTTGGTTGCTGGGTGTTTTCCTGTTTAATACTTTATCTAGAGAGAGAGCTTTCCACTATTTGACTTGATTTGAACCATCCGGGCTTCCATCTTGTTTGGATACCATCTCTGCTAAACATAATTTTATGAAGGCAGCAGGCTGTCTGGGGTTGCCATTGTTTAGGATGATCAAGCTCTTATCTGATTAGGGACATTCATTAGATTCAAAGTGTCTGTGCTTAAGGAATTCCAATGCGGCACCCAGCTGTCTAGGGGAGGGGATTGTTCAATGTAACACACTGAACTTTTATCTGATTCTTTGAGGTATAAACTCTGTGTGCTTTCTTCAATAAACCAGTTCATGTTTCCACTCCAAAGTCAGTGTTGACTGATTCTTGGGGTAAGCCCATGCTATATTCCCTTGCTTCTGGTTCCAGCACCCAGGGAAAAGCCTTAAGACGGAGATATCCAGTCGGGGTATCAGGGAGTCCGTCACAGACTGATTACAAGATTGAAGGTGTGTGATAATTACAGAAAAGAGTTAGCTTGAAATAAACTACAATTCAATAATTTATAATGTTTTCTAGGGGTACCAACATATCTGTCTAGGACATTTTAGAATATGTTTTAAAAAATAAGCAATACTTTATCTCTGTTCACCTATTCTTTCCTTTACTCTACGACATACCACAGGCATACAGGAATACATGAGGCAATTACTTTTAATTACACTACTTTTACGGAGAACTTGAACAATGTTTCAATTAGCTGTAAAGGTGCCAATAAATGTGTCCACATCTGTAATTATATGACAGTCTTTAGAATATTACTTTCCCACCTTTCTAATTTATATGTGTTAAAATGTATTTTATAATTTATTTTATGATCGAAAATGTGGTAATTTAATTACAAATAATAATAATAATAATACAAAACAACATTAAGGCAAAATGTCCTTATAACTGCCTGCTTTTCAGGGCGAAATTAACTCTCAGTACAACCCCATGTATCAATAGTTTTACTATATCCTGATTGCTAATACTTTGGAATGATTTAAAACGCAACACAAAAGGGTAATAACAGAGATTTACCAGTCACTCTGGCTTGACATAATGCGATCATATTTCCTTCAGTGTCTTGCTTTAATTTACCATTCCCTTCCACTTACCAAAGCCTCCCGTTGAAATGGTAGCAGGCTGCGTGACCATTACTCATAAAAACAGCTTGTATCTGTGGTTTGTGCTTCGTATCTTCCATGACGATGAAGGTTAATTGGGCAGATTTTGAGCAGGCAATCAAGATACCAATATTTCCTGATGGATAGCTGATTTATTGTTAAGGACAACAGATTATTGTAGTAACTTATGAAATCCTAAGTGAAAACATGTTACTGAGCATATTTAGGAGACAATATGATAAAGCTTCTAAAGAATCTCTGGTGACCCTGAAGTAAATACCAAAAATATAACTGTATTGTTCAATAGTATTCAATATATGAATACAATAATCTGTTATGTCATATGTACCTTATTTTTATGTTTGTATGGGATTTGCCAGTATGAAAGCAGATGACTGCTGTAAAATAGCACTCCTAGGTTCACAAAGTTTGAAGTCCAGTTAAAGTCACAAAAGTGGATGCATATCCTTGTGATCAAAGGTGTAACTGGTACCCATCTCTGCCAGCACAGAAAGAAAAGAAGAGAAAAAAGCTATTTTGAAATGTATACACTTAAGCAGCCAAACTAAGGACAACACCTATTTTATATTTGTTACGTTTTCATATTCACGTAGCATAACCTATAAAAAGTCTACCTGCATTTTAATCGCTCTTTCTGAAAGAAAAATTTCTATTGAAACCAAATTTTCCTCTGGAATGCAAGGGGTTGGGGGGATGGGGGGATTAATGTTCACCATATTTAAAGTTATATTAAAGTCGAAACTTTTGTAATCTATTTCAAATGCTGATGGAATTATGTGCAATAAATGCTGCTCCTTGATGTTTACAAATGTTAGTTTCCTGCAGAATCAGCTGGTCCCGTGAGCACTACCCCTGATATCCTATACGGCGTGGAAGTGCCATTCAAGTCAATGGCACTGCAGATATGCCCCCCCCCGCCCCCAGTACGATTGGCCATACAGGATGCGTGGTAATAAAATGCCCTGCGTTCCAGTGTGGTGGGATCGCAAAAAATCGTGCATTCATTTTATTACCACATGTTCTGGGCACGGGACATTGCGGTAGACGTGCAGGCTGGTGGAAACAAGCCCTTAGGGTGGCTCCTTTCCTTGCAGGGTCCTATAGAGCCACAAACATACAGAAACAGAAAAAGACAAGGCACTCCAGTGTTCCCTGCCCCCAATCCCCCCTCCTCCTTCTTCCTCCCTCCTCCTTCTTCCTCCCTCCTCCAAGCTAGTAACTGCTGGAGACTATACTGTCCCTTGTGATCTTGTACTGGACAGGACGTTTAGGGAAGGTGAGATGAGAGAGTTGGAGCCAGTGGTTTCGAAACATGGTGACTGTAAGAAATACTTTGCTGGCCAGTGTATATTTGTTTGATCTGAATTCATTGTTTGAGAGTTTAACACTACTTTAACCCTGTCTGTACTGTGCTGGCAAATCTCATTATCAGTTGTAAACTAGATTTTAACACGGTCATTCCTAACAAGGGGTTAACGTTCTAGAAGCATTGTATGCTAATGAGTTAAATCTCAATGCATCCCTATTCTTTCTATGGAGACAGAGTTTCCTGTCACTTTGAAATGTAGAGAAGCTTGTAGTCTGTCCAAAGGTCAGCTAAACAGAGACATCTAAAATAAATATTTTGTTTAAAGTTTAGATATGGTGTGTGAATAGGAACACTCAAGATAAAGTGGGGTTTTCTCAAATTTGACATCAAAAGAGGAAATACACTTTACATTAAAATCATAATACACAGGGATATCTTTGACTGGTATGCAACTATCTATATAAGATATCTATCACACTGCTCGAAAATACAGATTATCGGATGTTAACAATGTGGATGAAAAATGCGTGACTGTACAGTTGAGGACTGTACAGTCTATGTATCTACACAATGTTCATATCTGCCTGTTCTAAATTATAATAAAGATATATTCTTTAAAAAAGTAATATGAAAGGGGACAAAATGATAAAGAGAAAAAGGTGCGCAACTGCAGTTGGGTTTTTAAAATAACTTTATAATGTCATAGGATCTCTTTTTTTTTGTGAGGTTACTTTTGAAAATTACAAAGTCAGCAGTCTACAAAAATAGACATCAGGTAATTGAAGGCTTAGGTGACCGAAACCTAAATACTGTTTGGATATATAGTTATTTGAATGGCTTCAGCACCAGAGTTGGGCTGGATGTTCCGAGACGACCGTTTGTCGAACATCGCTTAAACATCGCTAGTTCGTGTGTTCAAACTAGAAGGGCTTTCGGCGGTCTGTTCGACTTGTGAAGCCCTAATTGGTTAAGGGTTTGCCCAATCAGGGCTCAGTATTCTGTAAGAGCCATGATTGGCCAAAGTCATGATGACTTTGCCCAATCATGGCTCACCTGTCAGATGACGTAAAACTACACAGTTGGGCGAAACTAGCTGTCACCGCTAGCTCCGCCCAACTGTTTATGTTATGCCAGCATCTGTCAAAATGCCATTATGCGGTTGGTGTTCATAATTAAAAAATAAAACAATAAAAAATAAATCATCTTTTTAAAAATGTTATTGAGTTTTCATTATTTTTTTTTCCAATTAAAGGATTTTTTCAAAAAGTCTGGTTTTTTTATTTCAATTTTTTTAACCCTTTAGTAAATGGGTAGGGCACCTCTTACTCATTCATTAGGGGGGCGCATCTCGGTGCCCTGATGTGAATAAGCCCCCTGCCCGCACCCCCACAACCAACGCTTCAGAGCTTGTGGGGAAGAGGCCTTTGTCCCCATCCGCTTGGGTGGGGTTGGATCTGAATGCAAAGTATTGCTTGTCTGTGTGCATGAGCCCTAAAAGTTATGATTTAGATCACAGACCTGGAACAAGCAGTATACATTTGGATGGAGAGATGACTGCCATGGAGCATGAACCTTAAAAAACAATTCAGCAGCGGCTCCTATATTTCAAACACGTTCCTTTCCAACATATCACTGTGTGAATTCAGACAAAATAGTATCATAAAAGGAGTTCTACCAACCAGGGACTGGTCCTGTTAACTCTGCATGGGTTTAAAAAATAACATACAACTAAAATTATAAATTATTATTAGGGTAATGCTCTGTGAGTCATAAAATAATGACATAATTATACACAAGAGCAAAGAAAACTACTATACTGTACTGCTGTGCTGTTTCCATTAGTGCCTCACTATATATCTTGGTAAGTAAGCGTGTGTGGGTGTGCACTAAATGAAATGGGCAGTCATGTAGTAATTCACCTGAAAACAAACATGCTCAGGTCTCTAAGTGTCTCTATATCATTTTCAACAGAAACATTGGAGAGTACATTATGGCGTATAAGAATTATTCTGCAACAAAATACTGCTGCATACAATACCGGATCACATATATCTTCTGTGTTTGAATTCTTCACTTACATCTCTCCTGTATGGTGCAAAACTCCAATGCAAAGATTGAATAAATCCACTTTTATTTTTTAATGTGAGTGCATTTATTTTAATTTTTTCAAAAAGTGAATTATGTCTTATATTGTATGGCATACAATAAAACCTAATTGGAAATAGCCTTAACCCCTTTATGACTGAGGCCTTTTTTTTCATTTTTTGTACCCATGTTATATTCCACATTTTAGGCCTGAAAATTACTTAAAACCCCCCAACATTATATATTTTCTGAATGCCAAGACCCTATAGAATAAAATGGTGGTAGTTGCAAATTTTTATGATGCGCAATAATAGCGCAACTCCTTATTAAACCCCAATGTTTAATGAAAAATGTAATTAAATGCCCCAAAACACAACAAAATACCAATTTTTTTAATGAAATATAAAAGATGAGGTACTACAACCTCCTATCCTAAGGTCCATTTAGCCTCTACTTGGATTGCAGTTGCCATGGTGCTGCACATGTGATCAGATATGAAACCAGCCAGTTGAGGGCTTGAAAGTTCTGTTGAGAGCTAAAATAAGCACACTTACAACCTTGACAGTTGCAGTGCCTTAAAAGTAACTGTTTTGAGAGACATTAAATCGGTGGGTAAAAATCCGCTTTAATGGTGCTACTGCTAAATATGAATTATTTAAAACATATAGTTCTAAATACATGATTTTCATTGTGCTAAAGTGGCTCCTATTATTGCCTGTATTATCTGATTTACCAAATATGCTCTAGCACAGAAGCTTACAGACTGGAGCTGCTTTGTCTACACCGATTAGTCTGGGTGCTGAAACTGTCCTTCCTTCTGGAAGGTGACTACTTTTGTTCCCCATGATCCCTGTGTGTTGTAGAGTAGCCACTGCTACAAGATTGCTCCCACGATGGACTACAATTTCAAAGTTAGTTTACTAATTTGTGTTAGGGTTCCAATTTATTAAAGTTCCCCCGGGATACGATCAAGCTACCAGCTTCAAACAAGTTCTTGGGAGTAAAGAGTCACATAAACTGTGTATTCACTCTATATTCAAAGGTTTATTGTTAAAACAAACAGGTTATATGTGAAACTAAAAGGGGGATGGCGGAGCATAAACCAATAAAATTCATGCACGTATACAAAAATACAAAACTAATCATGGGTCACGGGACAACCTTGGGGGGATTTGCAAAGTAAAAAAACAAAAACACAGAGATAAGAGATACAAATTTGCTAAGGAATGCAGAGACTAACAATTTAAAAACATCTCAAACTGGTTTCTGTAGAATATACTGAAAAACACAGAATTTGCTTGCTCAGACATTAACTTTGTATAACCCAGACATGTAGTAATGTAGTAATTCAGAACCCAGAAACAGGCAAATTAAATGAATTACCCTCTCAATTTGTATTAAGATTGTAGTCCATCCCGGGAGTGCGCTTAGAGCAGTGGCTACTTTACAAAACACACAGGGACCATGGTAAACAAAAGTTGCCACCCTCCAGTAGGAAGGACAGTGTCAGAACCAATTCAGAGGTGATTTGAGGATCTACAGCCGAGTAATACACACATAAGATACATTTTTGTTATTAGTTAAGGCCCTTGAATGCATTTTTAAGATTTAACTTTAAAAGAGAACTATGGCCCAACCTTTTTTGACCATAGTTCTCTTCAGGGTCACAGGAGGACATATACTAATGCTACTGCCCGCTATATACTGAGAGCGCAGAGCCGCGTCGCAGCAGGGACAGATCCTGACAATACTGCGACCCCGCTGGCTGATTCCTCTCTAGAGCCAGAGCCAACTGTGCGCACCCCCTCCCCCGTCTGTTACTCCAGTCAGCGCTAGAGAAACGGAGAGGGGAAGCAGGAATCTCTGCGGGGATCAGTGACTGACAGTCACCGCTCTCTGCAGGGAGAGGATCGGGAAGTCAGTGAACTCCTGGCACTGTCCTGTGGAAACTGGGATGGTCACTTCGCAACAGCCTTTTTAGGTCAGGGATTTTTCCTGAGATTGCCAAGGGTTCCTTGAGCTGTAAGCAGTGGCAAATGAATCTTCTATATACACTGACCACCAAAGTAAGGGGCAAATTTCAACTGGCCACTAATGTAAAGGGTCACCTTCTACAATGACCATTATTGTTAGGGGATCCCACCATTCTTACAATCTGTATTTCCTCTCTGTTGATATTATTAATTTCAAAATTATTACTGAAAATAATGTCGCATACACCAGGTGGGTGTTAAACAATCATCTGCCTTGAGTGTCAAATATTTAAGGTTTAACACATTATTTATTTTCCAATTTAAAACTTTTGACAACTTACTGATCACACTAATTTATCATAAGCTGTAGGCATATACATTTTTAGAAGTGATTCCTCGGGACTTGCACCTTTTTTCTAGGGTTCCTCTCTGGTAAAAAGCTTGAGAAAAGATGTTGTACAGAATCTTCTACCAACTGTCATACTCACTGATGTCAATGTACAGTATATAATGTCACTGTCACCATGTCATCATTTATTACCAACTGTCATGCTGAGTAATGTCTCACAACTGTCACAACAACTAATGTCACCCCATATAATGCTTCTGCAGAAGTGTCCCTGTTTGGACACAGGATATGATGAGCCATTTATCCAAGTGACACCTCATGGAGCACTGCAGGTTCGTATGAGATGTGCATTTTAACTTGCATCAAAAATATTCAAAAAAACACCCAAATCGGATCTTATTTCTACCTATTTACTACTACCCATACTTTTTATGGTTAGAAGGACATGCTGTAAGATGTTAATTCTTAAGGCCCCCATTCAGTAAATGTTTTATAGTCTCATTTTTTCAACAGTGCTCTTTCCTTAAAGTGGATGTCTTATGTGTCCAGAGATTTTGTGCCAACTTTTCCCACTCCATGGCACACACATAGACAAAGTATATTCCCTCACTTTAATTATTTTAAATGACACATTCCACAAAATGATGTCAATCATCAACCTGAACCAACTCTTCAAACTGCCCCATTCATGAATGGGTAGATATTTGTCAGCATCACATAGTTAGTATAATTTGAGAACTACGTGTAAAGTTTTTATATTGATGGATACAAAACTTGCCCAGTTCCATCAGTAAAGAGGATGAGGAAACTTGACCCAGAGTTGTAACATTCACTGACAGTCTTCTCAAGCATCTGTTAAAAGAAATTAAGAATTATTGTTATCATTAACCACGATCATCATCTGTATTTTTTATTTATATTGTGGCAATATATATATAACCATATTCCAATCTAAAAATCAATAACAAATGATACATAAGACACATTGAATTTCCATATACTGTATTAAATTCTAAGGGGAAGGATCATCCATATACTGCAATGCTAATGGTAATAAAGGTTGTCTGCAATCTGCTTGCAAGAATTGAAGCCACATATCTTAACTTGTTTTCCAGTTCCCAGGGAATGGTGAGCACTCCAAAACTCATGAGAAGACACAGCAGTCCATGCCTGGAGCCTCTTCTCAGCAAGATTTGGAGTAGATCTTCCAGATCTTGATGAAAGAAAGATGACTTCAATCTTGCCTAGATGTCACAAGTGGAATCGGGCAAAGATAAGTATACTATGTAACTTTTCCCCCTACAGGTTTTTATAAAATACATTTATGCCGTTTTTCAGCATTGGGAGGGCGACCCTCTTAAAAAAACGGTCTTTGCATGTTAGCTGTAAGGACTGCTTTGTGTTTTTTCTGTTCGATAATGATAACAATATAGGCAAAAAGTATTTTCTATACATTGTTATTAGTTACATATATATACCTTAAGTTAAGTGTAAATGATCTTAAATTGTAAGGAACAATCCTAGCCATTGAGAAAATGCCTCTTTAGAAAGTGAAATACGCCTGTCTTTTTGAATTTGGTTGATGTGTTTAGAAAAATTCATATAAAAAAAAAAAACTTCCAAAAAGTATGTTCAAAATATCTTCTAAACTCTGAGTAAAATAATAGGTATATCCATTTCTAAACTCCAGTGTGTCCTAGATACATAGGGTAGGGAGGTTTCAATGAGTAGTGATGCCTGTGAACATCACAGAAAGCAAGAGCAGAAAGATAGTGGTAATAGATGATTTAAGTTCTCCCCATTGAGAAACTCATGCATGAACAGGACGTGATGTAAAACCTTAGTAAAGGTTTATTTGTAGCATTTGCAATGATTTTCAGACAAGAAGCAAGCAAAACCTTTCCAGTGGGGCACATGTAGTATTAAAATATCTTCTAAAGTAGAGTGGGGTAGGGTCACAACACTTTTCCACGTTTTTATAGCTGGCTCTGTTCTCATTAGAGATCTTCTTACTTCCTGTGTGGTCACCAGGACAGTACCAGCCACATAAAAAACAGCACAGGTGGTGAGATATTTACATACACTGTATACTGTACAGATTAAGATGAGTCAACACTAAATGGTGTCTTTACCTGTTATAACTGCATGCCAGTTAAATACTATATGTAATATATGGTCAAATTAGATGCACAAGGGACTGTGTCATAGCTCCCCAAAAATAAGTTGCTATATACTGTATGTGTACACACACACACACACACACACACACACACATATATACACTCAGTAGCCAGATTATTATGACCACCTGGCGTTTGTAGGCAAATTAGCTATAAAGTATGTATGTATATGTACACATACATATACACATAAACACATTAGAATTAGAAAATATATTAAGATCCGATTGGGGAGGATAAAACATAATAGCAATGTTATAAAAAGCTAATATACAGTCCAAAGACATAAGCACACATTTTATGAGGGTGCTTATATTTATTTCATACAGGTACATATCTTGTATATGAGTAAATAGAAAATAAATAAAGATACTAAACACATTGCAGAGATTTAAAATACAATGCTAGAGGGTTTTTTCAGTTGACTACACCAGGGCTCAGTAAATTTGTGTCTATGGAATTGCAGTCTCAGATAAGACTCATCCTGGCTCAATGACACGGACCTGAGCTTGACATCTTTTTATTACAGTGTCAGGCCATCCATCCAAGTCATTACTCAGCTCATTCACACAGAAGAATCAGTCGTCATTTTACTCTCCGGAGGGATATATTAGCTGGAGCTCATTGTTATGTGCATTGCCAACACTGTCAAATAATTGTATGGAAGGTTTGGGGTATTATAACCATGTGACATGCTGTGACTGTAGGAAGCCATGGAGATTTAAAACATACGGTTAGAAAAAAAAATCACATTGCCTTTCCATAGAAACAGAATTTAATTAGTCTAAAATAAACAGTCTTGTTAATTAGTTCATGGCTACATTTGTCCATCTTTTTTTTATCACGGATTAAAAATACTGTACATATGGTAGGAAACACTTTAAAACACTAGAGCACACCTAATGGCAATCCTTACTATTACAAGATCCCTCACCGAGGAAAACTATTGCAATAATTAATACAGTTCACTAGTCCTTTAAATATACAAAAAGCACAAATTCCATTTATTAACAAAAAGAAGCAAATAAAGTACATTAAACTATTTTGAAACAGGTAAAAAAAATAGCGGGGTTTTAGACCTCGTTCTCACTCCTCAGTGTACTCTACGAAGCTGAAACACAGATAATAATCACAATTTCAGCTTAATTATAAACCCCACCAATTACAACATTTCATGTAGTTGACCTGATAGAAAACTTCACTGCTCTGTAATTAAGTTGACTATTGAAAAACAGATTGATATAAGACTGTACTAATTACCGTATATTGATCTTTTGCTTGTCACATGACAGTATTATTTCATTGTCCAGTATGCTGTTACTGGACTATCTACATAATACATTTTCCATCTTCCCAATCGAGACATGGCAGAAAAAAAGTGTTATAATGGTAGTTATTCTAGTAGTTACAATGGTAGTTATTATCTGTGTACCTGAAGTGTCTGAAACCTTGCTATTTTTTCACATATGCTTCAGGAAGGCTGAGGTTACTACTTTTTGTGCTACATTTGTATTTAGCCCATGGATAAAGGCTTTTCAGATTTTTTAAAGACTGGTGTTGAAAAATGTTATTCATTATTTTTAAAGAGTAAACCTCATGGGGAAAGGATTTTAGCTATATGAGTGCAAATCTGTTTTAGAGGTCTATAGCTTTTACATGTATAATTGAGACAATGCAGGCCTCAGAAGGTGCAGCCCAAAAAAGGTGCTACCTAAGCATGTAAATTGGAATAAAAAAACTGGGTGGTCTTTTATCTACATCATCTATATTGTCCTGAAAACCTTTGTTTGACTCACTTTTTCTATTGCATTTTTTCTATTGCATGTACTTCTGGTTTATTTGACTTGTCTAGAGTTATTGATCTGATTTTGATCTGTCTGCTCTGACCTCAGCAAGGTCTTTGCCACTGTGTTCCTGGTCCACAATACCCTGCCTACCTCAACCTTAGTGTTGTAGTTCCACTTTTGCAGTCAAATTAGAGAAAGCCCTACTATTTGTTTGTTATGTGTTCCTATTCACACATCATACCCAAAAATTATTTTAAAAATATATTTCTTACCTTTTATCTCTTTTTTTTTGGGTGTAGGATTTATGCAGATTCCAAGGTATTTTGAACAGTTTGTATCACAGGTTTACCCTCTACTTGCACATTCAGACGGAGCTACTTCTCATTATTATACAATGCTTTAACCCCTTTGTTAGGGCAGACAGTGTTCAAATTTAGTTGACAACTGATAATGAAATCTTCCAGCAGAATACAGACAGGGTTAAGTAGAGTAAACACAGCTTCCTACAGACCCCTCCTTAACACTACATGGGGGGTAAATTAGGAAGGATATTTAAGCAAGTATAAAGCACCTAAAAATGTAAGCAGATTTTTTCCCCCCAGTGTGAATGAAAACATGTAACAAATATAAAGTAGATGTTATCCTAATTTTGTCACCCCCTTCAAGTTAATGATCGGGTGACAGCTGCTGCATTTAAAAGCTGCAGGATGCTGGTACACCGCATGTAATCCTACAGTATATCATACGATTACATGAGGTTGGGAATAAATCACTATCCCTGGACGCACGATCGATGCGCCCAGGGATAGTGATGGATTCCTAATCAAATGTAACCATATCAAATATGATTTTATGCAGTGTGCCAGCGTTTCAAATGCAGCTACTGTCACCCGATCATTGACTTGAACAAGTGACAGCTAATGCTTGAAAAATGGCTGATTAGGAATTCTTGCTGCAGCAAATCGCAAGTTCCTGCCGCAGGAATTCCAAATCGCACCTAGTTGGTAGGTGTGAATGAGGGCTTACTCTGCCTATCTTACAGTTACCCTAGGTGCAACATTTTGTATGTGCTACTCACATGTTACTGGCCAGTGATGGTGTTACTGCTGTCCACACCAGCCATCCATCAGGCACGTTCTCAGACAATTCATCCCCACACAGCTACCTCCTCATGTATCACTTCCCCCTCCCTTTTAGATTGTAAGCTCTCAGGGGCAGAGCCCTCCTTACCATCTTGTCTTGAATTGTATTGTGACTGTAATGTCTTCCTTATATTGTAAAGCGCTGCACAAACTGTTGGCGCTATATCAATCCTGTATAATATTAGAAGGCCGTTAATGCACTGGTTTATTGCCATAGTGCAATAGCACTTGATATCTTATAACAGTTATTATTTATTTTGGAATTGGCATGTTTAAAAATTGGAATGTAATATATGAAATTACTAAAGTGTACATAATGAATTGAATCCACCAACCCTTATCATTTCTTAGAAAAGTGATGGCTCCCTCTTTCCTCATTCTGAAACAGAGAAACTACGCTACAGTGACTGACAAATTAGCATGGAGAAATTTCACCTGTAAGCTAACTGATATGCCCTGTAACTGACATTTTAATTTACATTTAAAGAGCATCTCTGGGGAATGTGTACAGTCTAGTCTTGTTTATAAAACCGTCTGAGGGAAGAACTGCTTCAGGCAATGCAGAGAAAGCAGTCAGATTAAAACTTTTATTTATCTGTTATTTTGGGGCAGGTTTGTAAAGCATTAGTTGCTGTGGGTTGTCTGACTTCTTCCCGCTGACATTTTTATAAAAAAAGGTTCAGGAAAAATTGCACTTGTACTGACATCAGAATACCAGTTCAATATTCCTAAAAAATTAAATA